GGTACGTATTTCAATTTTGAGTTGTTAACGATTGGTAAATAAAATTTTAAGCATTATTTTGTGTACCTATTTAAATTTAATCAGTTAATTGCATTTGTACTTGAAATTCAGAATTACAAATTTCTAGGTACGTAAAGCCAATGTTTATAATAGATTAGAAAATTTCTTGGAATTTTATTTAGGTTAAAGAATAATGTTTAATATAAGGTTGAATGTTCGAATAATTAAACTTTGATAGTATACAAGGCAACTATCGAACACAGTGATTAATTAAATCTTGCCCAAGTACTTTCGATCAATAGATCATCTTCAGGGGCATTTCGTCAGTTGTGGCCTATCCGACATGAGTAGAATGTCATAAAAGTAAAATTGGACATAACAATACAATACACAAAGAGAAACAAACACTTTAAAATTTTTAAAGGAGAAGCTACATGTTATACAGAAACCGGAGACAGAATCTGCAGATTCAGACAGATATTATTGAATAGATATTCAATATATATTGAATAGATAGACATTAATTTGATCGATTTTGTTCAACAAATTTTGTGTATTAATAGTTATTTAATTACCAAGGGCATTAAGTAGATGTATATGCCCGAGGTCGACTATCGTGAACGGCTTTAGTAGTAAAATAAACGAAAAGAGCACAACTCGATTGCAGCGCGAATTCATAGTCTACCTCTTAAATTCCAACAGGTTTCTCTAAGTGAGTTTAAAAGTGTCTGAACTCCAACGTGTAAGTGACGTTTATGCTCAGGCATAATGAACAAACGTGTAAGTTTATGATTAGGATCAAGTATAATTTTGATGTTTTTTTACCATATTCCAAATCACCATTTTCTAGTCGTCCCCCGATTCCCAATAAGCTATTCGACCTATTATAGAAGAAAAATATATTAGATAAGATAGGAACTGAGCTGACAAATACGAACTGACAAAAAAAATTTTTATTTTTGTCAGTTCGTTAATGTCTGTTCCGTTTTACGTTTTGAATCTTGACAAAATCAAGGGTTTCCTGCCGAAAAGTTGATTGCTATGAAAATGAAATCTAGTTCCACATGTAATATATTATCTTTATTCAACCTAAACCCAAGAAACACTAATTTTATATTATATATATATATATATATATATATATATATATATATATATATAAACAATTAAGAAAAAAAATAGTAATAATAAATATAAATTAGATATGACATTTAATATTTTACATTGGAACATTAATGGTTTTTTAACAATAAACGGGATCTAACTGTGTTTCTTGAAGAATTTATTGTTAATATGATTCTTCTAAATGAAACTCATTTGAAATTTTCGCAACAGTTGTATATTCCTAATTTTTACTGGTTTAGGGATGATAGGATTGATGGATGGGGTGGAATAGCTATTCTTATACATCAGTCTTTGGTAGCTGATCAGGGTTGGATATTTCACACATTCACTTGCCTGAGAAATGGCAGGCTATTGTTGTTAAATTTGAACAGTTTTTCATTATAGTTCATACAATGCACCAGATATACGTTTCCGCAAGGAGATCTTTAGAGAATAGGTCCAAATGTGTGATAAACCTTTCTTTTTCATAGGTGACTTGAATTGTCAACATTATTCATGGGGATCATCATCTAACAAACCGAATGGTAATCGTCTTGCTGATCTTTTGGAGGAAGATAACTTGTGCTTTCTCAACACAGGAGAAGCGACAAGAATTTCACCTCCTGATTCTAACAGTATTCCTGACGTGTCCATAGCTTCCCCAGGTGTAGCTGCGGACTGTCTTTGGGAAGTCTTTTCAGAGATAGGAGCTAGTAATCATTTTCCATTTGTTGTGTGTTATGTGCAAGATAGATTCAACACCCAAATAAATAACCCTCTTCAAGGTCTCAGTATCTTTAATGTGAAAAAAGCCAATTGGGAACAATTTAATCTATACATTGAGTCTAATATTCACAATATTTCTGATCACTCATACTCAGATTTTCAGAACCTGTTATTAGATGCAGCAAATAGGTTCATCCTTAAGAAAAAGCGTTTTAGATTTTCTAAACCTCAAATACCTTGGTGGGATGAAGAGTGTTCTGCTTTTATTAAATCAAAGAGGGAAGCAGTTAGAAAGTTTAAACAGGAACCATCTTTAGAGAACTTTATTAATTTGAAAAAGATTAGGGCTCATTGTAAAAAGGAACTTAAGTCCAAGAAGAAAAAAATCATTAGCCATTTTTTGCTCCACAGTCTCTCCTGATACCCCAATATCAGTAATGTGGAGGAAAGTAAGAAATTTCCATAGGGCCTTCTCTAAAGTTTCAATCAAAATGCCCAGCAATTATTCATTAGGGGAAGAAATGCTTATCTCATTGACTCCACCTGTTTTTGAGAATGTTTCATCTCACCCAGTGAAATCTAATACTATCGAGTGTGAACCCTTTTCTTTAAACGAGGTTTCATTGGCTTTATTTTAAAGAAGAGATACTCTTCCGGGCCAGGATAGTATAACATTTTCTATGTTGTAACATCTTCCAGAGTCAGCAATCAATTTTCTGCTAAAACTTTTTAATTTATGTCTTAAAGGGGGAAAAACATATTCCAACACAATGGAAATCGCAAACAATTTGTTTAATCCCCAAACCCAACAAAAATATAAATTGTCTTTAAGGTTGGAGACCAATTGTCCTATCCTGATGTGTCAGTAAGCTTTTAGAGAACGTGATAAAAATAAGGTTAGATTGGTATGTAGAACATCATCTGATCCTATCGCCTTTCCAAACAGGTTTTCGTAAAGGTAGAGGGGTGTCTGAAAACATTATCCATCTGGTTAATAAAATTTCAATTAATATTTCAAAAAGAAAGCCAGCGGCGGCTGTTATGTTAGACATTTCTTCAGCATATGATAAAGTATCTATTACCTAATTATTAGACGCTCTGGGAGATCTCAATTTGCCATTGTTACTATTGAGTTGATTAAACATATATTGACAAATCGTTCGGTGTTCGTCCGAGATCCTATTTCCTTTAATCTATTGGGACCAAAAACAGCAAATGTTGGTCTACTCCAAGGTTCTCCTTTGAGTCCAGTATTATTCAACATTGTTATTAACATAATATCATCTTGTGTGCCTGAGGATGTCCTAATGACTCAATATGCAGATGATATTGCTCTCTATTTTTCCGGCTACAGCTGGCTGGAAGTGGTGAAAAAATTAAATGCCCAGTAGAGAATATATCTGTAAAACTTCTTAGCATGGGAATGTGTTTGTCATCTAGCAAAAGTCAAGCGATTTTTTTTATAGAAATAGAAATAACACTCCGAACACTCAAATATTAGTAAATAACATCTTGCTTGATTGGAAACAAGAAGTTTCTCATCTAGGAGTTATTTTAGATAGTTCCCTTTCTTGGAAAAGCCAAATTGAAAATACGTTGAGGGCATCTAGAGGAGTCAATACAATTCGGTCCTGTGTCGAACACGGTGGGGAGCACATCCTGCCACTTCACCCATTTTATATAAGGCCTATATTAGACCACATCTTGATTATGGATCGATTTTTCTTGGAGGTTGTGCTCGTTCCTTACTTACAAAAACTGGATAAAGTTCAATATAGAGCTCTCAGAGTGGTCGGGGGATTTATAAGGTCCGCTCCAGTTCATATTATTTTGTCGGAATGTAGGGAAACATTGTTAGATCTTAGAAGGATTTGGCTAGCATCTAAATTTATATTAAAGCTCGTAGCATATGACAACCCAATATATTCTTCAATAGAACAATTTCATTAAGCATTTTTGAAATACTTTAGTTTTTGAAGAAGAAAATACTTCCCACCAATACTGGTTGCCTTCCAGAATACGCTTCATGAGATTCATGAGGTGGCACATAACTCCTTATTTCCTTGTCACCCCTTCCCAATTGATTCTCAGATTTCTTCTACAGTTTATGAAACTCTCAACCTGGGGAAAGAAGGTAACCAAGCTAAGTTTGTGTCATGGTACCTTGATAACTGGTCTGAAGATAAACTTATCTTCACAGATGGTTCCAAAGATGAACAAGGTAATGTGGGCATTGGTATATACCTTTATAATGAAAGCACCGAATTAACAGCAAGATTACCATCCGCTAATTCAATTTTTTGTTCAGCAGAATTATTTGCGATAAAAAAGGCATTAGATTTAATTCAACAGAATGATTTTGAAAAAAGCCTTATTTGTTGTGATTCAAAAAGTGCTCTAAAAAATCGGTTCCAACAAATAGGACTTGTAAAAGGAATTACATATTGTACAAATGTTACGGTTTCATATAAAAAGGCCTGGTTTACAAGGTTTCCTAGCCTGGGAAGGGGCATAATTGCACAAATGTGTCGTATGAGAAGTGGACATTGCAGCGTTCCGGTTCATTTATTAAGAATTAAAGTGATCAATACAAATCTGTGTCCATGTGGCAGTTTAGGCACCTTACAGCATGCGTTGTTGGAATGTACTAGATATCAAAGGAGTCCCAGTTATTTAGAAGTGAATTTCAATATGTTCCAACATTCATTGACGTGTTGTTAAAAAACTTAAACTCAAAGACACTGCTTGCAGTGCAAAAGTTTTTAGCCTCAACAAGGTCTCCAGTGTAGTTCGTTAATGTACATTATAAGATTTAATCTGCTTGCTTGGATTGCATGTGCTTAATGCGGTTTAGTGCTGTATTAAGGACTAGAACAATAGGACTTTAGAACTTATGTGAAAGAACTTTTGAACATCTGACTTTAATTTGTTTTTCTTTTTTGTTCTTTAATTATTGTTGCAGGTTCAGGAGCTATGAGCTTAAGATGTACCTTAGGTACGGCTCTTGAACATTCAGTAAAAATACATAGATCCTGGCCGGATAGCCCTAGCAGCTAAGGCCAAGCAAATGAATGAAAGAAGAAGAAAAAAAATAGAGCCAACAAATAAATAAAGAAGAAGAAATAGTATCGAAAATATAACCTAAAAATTAATTCAATCACAAATTTTAGAAAATGGCTCTATTTTTTAAACGAGCCTGTTCTCAAGTTATAAGACTTTCACAGTTAACAAACACAAATGTAGCTTTTAAAAACATACCCACTGTATCACTTGTTTCTTCCGTACATTATTCGAACAAACCAACTCCTTATGAAGTAGTAAACACAGATGAGGAAAAAAGTGTTACAAAAGAAATAATAAGTAAAGTTAATAATTTAGTAACAAACAAATCTCACGGAAGGCTCTTCGCAGTAGTTCACGTAGCTGGTAAGCAGTTCAAAATAACAGATGGAGATGTTATAGTGATAGAAGGTTACTGGCCACCAGACGTTGGAGACAAAATAACCCTAGACAAGGTATTATTAGCTGGATCTGCCGATTTTACCCTAATAGGGAGACCTATTGTAGAAAATGGGTTAGTGAAAGTAGAAGCCACTGTTATAGAAAAAACTTTATCACATACTAAAACCCATTTCCGAAAGAAGAGAAGGAAACAGTACATGAGAATTCACTTCTACAGGATTCCTCAGACCTATTTAAGAATTAATCAGATTAGTATTGAAGATGAAGTTAATAACCCAAAAGAAATTAGAGGCTTAGAAACTGCTGTATTTTAATTGTATAATTTTTTTCGTTATTTGTTAATAAAGGACAATTTGTTGTATTTTTCTGCATCTTTGTAAGATACATTTGTAAATAATACCAACTAATTGTACTAATATATGATTTCCCAAAAGTTTTATATTATATTTGAGTAAAATATAATAGGATGAATATATATATTGTCTAGCAAAAAATTTCATGGAATCTTTAAATCAAGGTGAAATTCTCATATTCTGTTGCAACATAGTTTTCAATATTAATTACTTTTAAGCTCTCTAAAGACAACATGTTTTGTTTTTGAGAGTTTTATAAATAGGAGTTTATTTAATCAAGTGAAGAATTTTTCTGTGGAACTTTTAGCAGAAATAGCCAAATTAAATGGCATAATTAATGACATCATGTATTAAAAAATGTCTGTCAGATAGCTCAGCGGGCTGTGCGGCTGCCTCTCATTCGCTTCACTGTCGAATGGTTCAGTGGATGTGGGTTCGAGCCCCAGCTCGGTGTACTGAAAACAAAAAGTCTAACGCAGCAGTTTAAAATTCTAGATGAATCTGCGGCTTAGACTAGGATATGCTGGGATCTGATCGGCCTATGGTGGAGCAGTACGGCAAGAGATAAGGGCTTGCGGCTTGGTGATACTCCTCCATAGATCCCTACCGGACGGGCGTAACGCCTAAAAAATCGGATATATATATATATATATATATATATATATATATATATATATGTATTAACAAATACATGAGATATAGTCCAGAGAAGTAATAAAGTATGAGCAAAAGATTAAACTTACCTTTTCACTTATAAACAATGTAAGATAGCTATTTGATTGTAAATACTAAAGGTGAACACCACTAAATTATACGGAAAAGTGACATAATTTATAATTTACTGAAAAAGATAGAAAATCCTTTAAAGTGATGGTTTGTAAAGTTATTTTTATTAATTTGTTGTTTAATTATTGCAAAAATAGCTTTACAAGTTGATTTTTTTTATAAAAAATAAGTATTTATGTATTATAGTTACAAATAATATCATTTAGCAATAGATTTTCCAAAAATAGTTTTTTATTTGAAAATCAACTCTGTGTTAATTTTTCTTGAATTGTGCTTATTACTTTTACAATTACTTTTTCTCAAAAACTTTACAAATATATTTTACACAAATTAATTGCTAATAAACATTTGTATAATTATAAATAAAAATTATGGAAATAATCTGTAATATATATAATTAACATATAACAATTTACATACTTAATTTTACTATTTTTATTTATAATTATATAAATTTTATAACAATTAATTTTTTTTTAAATATATTTGTAATGTTTTTCAGTCAAAAAAGTATTTCTAAAATCAATCAGCATAATTCAAATTATTTTCAAATAAAAACTTTATTTTTTGTAAAATTTGTTTTTAATGAATATTATTTTATAACTATAATACATAAATATTTAAGTCATCTATTTTTCATAGCCTTTTCTACTAATAATAATAAAAAAAGTAAAATTTTGCAAAAAATCAATGAAATCTGTTCAGGAAATGTATAAAAAAGGTGGTGATCAACTTTTTGTCATCATCATCATCTTGGTGCTAGAGCCCTTAGAGGGCCTCGACCTTCTCAAGCTTTCTACGCCATTCTGTTCTGTCCCTTGCTTGAATTTTCCAGTTGCCGAATCCGATCTTCTCCGCATCTTGTGTTACCCCATCCATGCACCTCAGCTTTGGTCTACCCCGTCGTCTCATTCCCACAGGTTGCGCTGTTAGAATCTTTTTTATCATGTTCGATTCAGGGGCCCGGGCTACATGTCCTGCCCACTGCAGGCGGTTTCGCTTAATTATAGTGGTAATATCTTTACCACCAAACGTATGCTTGTAGATATTCTGCAGTTCGAAGTTATATCTACGCCTCCATATTCCGTTCTCACAGACCGCTCCAAATATCTTGCGTAGCACCTTTCTTTCAAAAATGGATAGAGCGGATTCATCTGTTTTCGTTAGCGTCCATGCCTCTGATCCGTATGTGAGAACGGGGACTGTCAGTGTTCTATACAGCCTTATACGAGTTTTTTGAGACAGACGTTTGTTAGCTAAGTACTTTGATAGACCATAATAACACCTGTTTGCAATTATTATTCGCCTTTTTATTTCCTCAGATGTATTATTATTGGGGTTAACCGATGTCCCTAGATATTTGAACTCATTGACTGCTTCGAAGTTTTGGTCATTGATGATTAAATTTGTGTCAACATTTCCAGCTCTTGTGTTTGTGTTAGTCGCCATGAATTTGGTTTTATTTTGATTTATGTGTAACCCCATTCGTTCTGCTGCTGCTACTAGCTCGGTTAGGATTTCCGCAGTTCTTCAACTTTTTGTAGCAATTCATAAACTAATAGTACTTATATGGCAGAATGAATTGGTACCAGAAGAGTGGCTAAAGGGAATAATATGTCCGTTGGATTAAAAAGAGTCATCAACTAGGGTGTAAGAACTAGAGAAGCATTACTCTGTTAGCATGTGTGTATAAAATCTGTGGCAATGTATTGTTTGAAAGACCTAAACATTTTACAAAGAATATTGTTGGTTAATATCAATGCGGATTTACTGTTGGAAAGTCAACTACACATCAAATTCAAGCACGTAAGCCAATTCTAGAAAAGTCACTAGAATATAACATAAAAACACACCATCTCTTCATCAACTTCAAAGCAGCCTAGGACAGTATGAAAAGAACTGCATTATATAATGCAATGATAGACCTAGGGATCCCACCAGTTAGTTAAGTCGACCCAACTAACAATGCAAAACATAAGTCGTGCGTTAGAATTTAAGGAGAAAACTCTATGTTCTTTGACATTAATAATGGTCTAAAACAGGGGGACGCGCTGGCGTATCTCCTCTTTAACATTGCCTGATTGTCTGATTGGAAAAAGCAATCACACAATTAAATATTATAATGAATGGAACTATTTTTAATAGATCGACGCAAATTCTCGCATTCGCTGACGAGATAGTTATAGTGGGCAGAAGTATGAGAGACATGGTGCAATGTTTTACAAGGGTTGCGGACGCAGCAAGTGAATTAGGACTTGTGGTAAAAGAGGAAAAACAAAGTGGTTTCTAAAAACCCCCGAAATATCCAACAGAGAATTCAAATTAACTACCATACGTTAACGTCCACGTCAAAGAATTCACATATCTTAATCTTGCTATCAATATCAAACAGAACTGTTCACGGTCTCCAGAAACATTTAAAAAATAAAAATAAAAAACGTGCAGTAAAGCTCAGTATATAAAAGACCTTAATAAGACCGGTTTTGATATATAGGGCTGAAAAGTGGACCTTATCTTAAAATGATGAGACTTCTTGGTATTTTTGAGAGAAAAATTCTAAGAAAGATTTTTGGGGCCCTAAATGAAAATGGGCTATGGCGTCGAAGATACAACTTTGAACTATATCAGTTTTACACCGATCCAGATATTGTGAGATTCGTTAAAGTGCCGAGACTTAAATGGGCTGGACATATTGCTAGGATGTCAGATCACGAATACACGAAGAGATTAACATTTTCAAAACCAGAGGGCACAAGAAGCAGAGGACAACCACGAAGGAGATGGACTGATGATGTGGAAGAAGACCTACATTTTTAAGAGTCAGAAGACGGAGGAAAGTTGCCAGGAATCGACAGGAGTGGCGACTTCTTTGTGAGCAGGCCAAGATCGACAGGCTCGACAACATATGGTCGAGCTAAATTATATAGAAAAGTGGCAGAATTTTACTGGAAAGCATAGTAAAATAGCATCTATTATAGTTATAAATAATATCAGTTAGCAACAGTGACAGTGGTCACAGTCTGCCGCCCGGTGCTGATACGGATGCCGCGCACAGGCTCAAAAATATTTCTTAACTTTATTTCAATTCAACAAAACATATTTTGAATATACATTTTGCATACAATTACAACTTTTTTGGGTTTCAAACTTAAATATGATTACTAACAAAATACAAGGAATCAATTAAGGGCGAACTTCAAAAAGTAAAATAAAAATGTACCTAATAACATTCATACAGGTAACCTGAGGTAGTTACTCAAATACCTTTACTATTGAAAAGCTTATTTGCTTGCTTTTACTGCGAAGCGAAGTTTTCGATGATATCATTTATATTTAATTCATTTAGCAGGTCCTTGTTAACAGATAAAACTGCTAAGAGTTCAAATTTTCTTGGAAAATGCCATTTCTTAAGTAGGCCTTTACCTTTTTTAGTGTCGAAAGACAGCGATTGCCACTTGCCTTTGCGACCATTATGAGAAAAAAATACGCCGGCAAATATTAACGTTTGAAACGAAGATATTAAGTTATTTTCGTATATAACCTGTACCAATTCTAAAGAAGTGTTTTAATTGGGGAAGAAACGTTAACAAATGCTTTAAATAAACACATTCTTGGGGAAAATACTCATCCAAATTCTCCTTGTATTTTGTTGTATTCGGTTACTCATCTGAAAATATCTCTTTCTTCCGTAGCTTTTAGTTTAACCAAATATTCAAATGCTCTTGAACAATACTTATAACTATCAAATCGGCGAATAATCTCCGACTTAAGATTGTCTATTATAAAAACGTAACATTCTGTTCGAATTTTTTTTTGCTTAAACTTACATCTGAATTCTTTTCTCCTAATTGCAATTTTTATTTTTGATAATCCTCTTCTCAACATAATTTTCGTTCCCTGTTAACAACATTTCCAAGATCCTCGTAGTGATCAAAACGATCACGTAAGAAATTAAAGGAGTCCGCTAAAGATGATAACAGATAAGCGGTTGTGCTTAAATCAACATTTTCCTTTTGTACCGCTTTATTAACTTCATTAACCCTTTGTAAAAGGTCAAGAAAGAATGATAAAATTATTCCGTTTTCCAAAAAATCAAGTTTTTCCGATAGAGAAGCTGCTTAAACTCTACATTTTTCTCATTGAGGTTGACATTTCAATCAAACATATTTTAATCAAACCGTAATTTCTTTTTAATGCTTTCACGGAATCAAAACGAGAAGACCAATGGGTTGTATTCACTCTTAGGTAACAGTGTCTTCCCGACTTAGGCGAATCCTTTATTACACGAGACAATAACGCCCACCTGTATGTAGACACGGAGACAAAATTGTAGATAGCTTGTACCAACATAAAAAAATATATTGCTCCAAACAACAATCTGCTACATTTTGGACAACCAAATTCAAAGAGTGAGCAGCACATGGCACAAAGAGAGCTAAATCATTTTAAACTTTAATACCTACTTTTAAACCAGAATACTTGCCATTCATATTACTGGCATTGTCATAAGACTGGCTTATACAGTTCTTAATATCTAATTTCAAAGACTCTTAAATATCCCAATCACTATTTTCTCAAGTTGTTGTGAGCTATGCCCAGTGTTTTTATAAAATCCCACGAATCTTTCCACAGGATTTCCTTTATTGTAACAATATCTCAAAATCACTGTAAGTTGGTCACGAAGTGTTATGTCACACATAAAGTTGTATAAAAATCAGGTGAGAATAAACAATGAATCACTTATAGATTTAGGTTTAAAATTATTTTAAAAAGTTGTACATAATTATGTTCAAAACAATACTGACAGTATTGGTTAAAAGCACCCAGGTCACTAGTAAATAAATATAAAGACAGAGCAAACAAAAACAACCAATAAACAATTAAAACACAATAAAATTACACATTAAAAATATACAATGTGATTTAAAATATAATTGTAAACAGAAAAATTATTTGAACATACTAAGAATATTTCAGTAGATATTGCTCAACTGTCCCGTGTCTGCCTTGTAATTTACTGCATAGTTTTCTCTATTTATATGACACATTTCCAAAAACAATCTTTTTTTGTAATTATTTTCTTGCTGTAGAACCCTGACATTTGATTAGTCAAATTGAGGGCCAGTTTTGAAGTGATGGTCAACTGCCGCATATGTATTCTTTTGTTTTGTGCAGTCACTTTTGTGTTGTGGGACCCTTTGTTTTAGCCATTGAAAAGTTTGGCCAACATAACAGCTCTGGCAATCCAAACAATGCAGTTTGTAGATAACATTAGTTTTATTTACAGTTGGTGTCTTGTCTTTTACTTTAGAAAACAGTTGTCCGTTTTCTAATAAATTATATTGGACAATTTTAATGTTGTCTCTCCTCTTGTAGGTGCTTTTAACCAATACTGTCAGTACTGTTTTGAACATATTATGTACAACAACTTTTTTAAATATTTTTAACTCTAAATCTGTAAGTGATGCATTGTTTATTCTCACCTAATTTTTATATAACTTTTAACCATATAACCATAACTTGTGTTCTGATGATCGTAGGATATTGAATTTTTTTTTTAAATTCGAGTAAAAATGTGGAAATTATGAATAAAAAAAACATGTTGATGCGTCTGAGTTATTTTAAATGTTTATAAGCTTTGAATCACAGTACCTTTATAACCTATTTTACAATATTCAACATAAATTATTTAATCATTAACTGATTAAATTTGTTAAAATAAGGCTTTCTCTTAAATTTAGTGCTTTTAGAATTTCTGTAGACCTGATAGTTTACGCATAATAACATTGTGCTTTCTGTGATAAACAATTTCAATTTTGCACTAACATGTTAAATGAAACTTCTTGAATATATGCGATAGTGTCCCTATTATCACGCAAAATTAAAGTTTTTTGTGCATTTTTAAAATTGTTAATAAGAATTTTCAAAATATCGACTTTTGAAACTATGTTTGCAATAATTAAGCAACAAATTAACAAACATAACTTTATAAACTTTATAAACTTTTATTTTAAAGGACTTTCTATACTTTTTCAGTAAAATTGTCACTTTTTGCCACATAATTTATAGGTCTTCACCTTTAGTATTTAAAATCAAATAGCGATCTTACATTGTTTATAAGTAAAAAAGTAAGTTTAATCATGTAGGTACATATTTTGTTTATTATAACCAAATTTATCAAAAGCAGTTGTTAGATACCTGTATCAAAGAGTGTTGCGAAAAAGGCTTTTTATTTGCTATTTTCTTTGGTCTAATAAGTTCAATAAACTTTATCGAAACTAATACGTTAAGTAGTATGTAGCACCAATGTAACAATTTGTATTAAATTATATTAATGAATTCTTCTTACATGCAGGGCTAAACTACACCATAACTGTAACTCCTTTAACTGATGGTTACAATAGTAATGATCCATTCCCTAGACCAGGAATAAACAAAGCAGTTAAATCATCAAGAAACTAAATTGTGTTACAAGCCTTACTTATGATGATGGCTTGCTGAAAATTAGTCGGCAACAGTGAAAGAAAAATTAATGTTGTTGTTCAACTACTTGTTGAAGCAAGACCTCAATCTAAAAGAGGCTAAAACCTATCCGAAAGCCACATAAATATAGTGTATACACAAAAAAATTTTCAGCTCCTGGTTTGGTTTTACAATTTAGTTCTAGTATTTAGTACAGTCTTTTATTTACTACTGATATTTAAATAAAGAGGTAACATTGAGTGATTAAAGAAGATGCTTTGTGTTTCTCACATATGAAGAATAAATGATTTAAATCCACTAAAATTGACACATTGTAGGTAGAAAAATGGAATCTGTAAAACACCTTTTTTATGTAGGTGAATAGAAATAAAGGATATACCTAATACTATTTGGAATAGTTCGCAATTGTATCCGATATTTTATTTCAGGAAATCAAAATTATGCACATCAGGAATGCACATTATTTGTATATTTTGAAATTAAGGTCACTACTGTAAAGGACCTTGGGATCCACTATTTACGGAGTTTATTATAAACTATATTTTGTAAATGTGCATTCCGATCTACAAGTCAGAACATCCACAATAAAGAATCTATTTTACCCTTTGTGATTTATTCTCACAAGGAAATTTTGTGGCTCATGAATTGTTGTTTACTGATTAATATTAGGAATTTGTCTAGGTGAGTAAAATGTAGCTCCTTTCCGAAGCTGTCCTTTGTAGATATACTATAAACACTGATTAAACTATATTATATATTTTTTAAAAAAGAAGCTGATAAAAGCTGCATATTATTGTGCTGAGTTTAAATATATATAATTCATATAAAAAAAGTTACACAGACAACACAATTAAAAATAGACTTAAGAATATTAAAAATAATTAAAGTTCTATATAATTTAGAGCGTAATTCAATTCCTAGAGGGGACCATCAACTAGATAATGTTCACAACCCCTCTGTTACTTCAGATTGACTCTCTTATTATCACTGATGGTCACCCTGCACATAAATGGGTGGAAAATAAGTTAAAAAAAAACAAGTATTAATCACAATTGAAAGTCTAATAGAACTAAAATGTTTTTCGATGTATAGCTCTTTGTCCTTCCTCGTCAAACTCCCGTTTCGAGACCCACATCTTTTTGAAAGTATCTAAAGAAGCCAAAATAGAGCCACCTATCCATGTGGAATATAACCTTTCCTGAGGAGCTGATATCTACAAAACAAAATTTCATCAATTATTATAAGTCATAAATACAGTCTTATTTCTTCTGTTATACCTTAATTTGTGTTTCCTTAGGTGACATCTTCTTGATTTCTGAAAGCAATCTATCTCCAAATCCTTTGAACAAAGTAGAGCCACCTGACAACACAATGTTCTTAAACAATACTTTCCTAAGGTCTAAATCAGACTTCTGTATGGAGAACAACAATACTTCATGGATACCTTCACACTCTTCACCTATCATGTCAGGTTTGAAAAGAATCTCAGGGGCTCTAAACCTTGCAGGTCCTACTTTGATTCCTGTACCATCTGGAAGGGTATAATTAATTTGCTCTGTCTCAACTGATTCTTCTTTTATTGGATTGTTCGATAAATAACAAGCTTTTTCTTTTAAGGTTCTAACTGATTCAAACTCAGCAGTAGTACGGAAAATGATGCCTTCTTTTCTTAGAAGCAATCTGAAACAAAAACCAGCTACTTATAATGTTTTATTACACTGTATACAACTGACATAAATCATTGCTATCTAAATCATTAAGTCCTTCTCTTTTGGGATAAGCTTTAAAATCAGCAAAACTGTAATAGTTATTAATAAAATAACAGATACGATATATTTTTTCTAAGGGTCTATTTAATAGAAAAATATACCTTAAATATCTAGAAATATCCCTTCCTGCAATATCAGATCTCATGATACTGTGAGGTAGAGCAAATCCTTCATATATAGGCACTGAATGAGTGACACCGTCTCCTGAGTCCAGAACTACACCAGTAGTCCTACCAGTAGAATATCTACAAATAACAGTCAAATAAGATCCATGTTAATGCACATTAAAGAAGTTACTTACAAACTAAGAACAGCTTGCATGGAAATAAATAAAGCTGGAACATTAAATGTTTCAAACATAATTTCTGCAGCTTTTTCTCTATTTGGCCTAGGATTCAGAGGAGCTTCAGTAAGTAGTACAGGATGTTCCTCTGAGAATGTTGAAAGTTGATCTTTGCTATAAATATAACTCCAAATCTTTTCCATGTCATTCCAATCAGTCACTATCCCATGTTCCATTGGGTACTTAATGGAAAGTAGGCCTCTGTGTTCTTCAGCTTTAGGACCGATGAACAAGTCTCCTTCGAGAGCACCAGCCATGACTCTGGTGTGTTTAGGCCTACCCACACTAAAAATTTGCATATTAGTGTCAGTTTATAAGATTTTAAATGTACTTACTAATTAGGAAATCTACATTTCGGAATTTGGCCGCCAGCGAACCCAGCTTTAATAACACCCGTTCCCTAGAAAAACAATTTAATATAAAAAAAAAGTATAATAGAAGAATTATTACTCACATTATCTATCACAACAGGTTGGTTAACAATTACGTCGTACGCTTCCATTATTTAAATATAACTAGTAGTACAAAAGTAGTGTAGTGTGTTGTATTTGCTTACTATTTTAAGCTATAATTTATATTTTCTATCTATCGTCTACACATCCCAATATTTAATGGAAAGCCGAGAATGATGTCATAAAATCTGTCAATTTCTAGTGTCAAAGTTAAATATAACCTGTCTGACTTCTTCGACGTGAAGATAGTTATTTATAAGGATTTTACCTGAATATTGTTTTGACCATTGATTAATACTAATATTTTTTTACTATCGTTTGATGGTTTTAAAAACTGTTACTGCAAATCGTTGAATTAAAATTTATAGTTTGGTATCTGTCTTGTGTGCCAATATTTAAGTATTTCTAAAGTATAAATATTTAAAGTATTTTTAGAATTTTGTACTTTTATGTCAAGAGAACTACCTGTATAAATATGTGAATGAAGGATGCTATATTATTTATCTATGGATGCCAGCTGCTAATGACAAGAGATTGGAGACGTAGAGAAGAGGACAGACAAGAGACAGACAGAACTACCAAAAATAAGTCGTATGGAAAGAGGATTTTGATTTTCATTTCCATTCAAGTTTCATCTTTATATTTATATTCACAAGTATTACTTCTACTAATATTAAAAATTAGTTCACTGTTCAATAATAAAAGGTTGAGCCTTGATAATGATGCCCCCAAATTTTTTACAGTCAAATGGGTGAATATTTGGATTTAATTTTGCCAGCTGGTTAGTGCAATTTCAAAAAATTTAAAAAACAGGTGTGATTTTCACAATAAATATGACTTCTTCCAATGATGATGTTATTAAGGCCATTCTTCAATACCAGGAGAGACTGGAAAGATATAAAACTAGTAAAAGTGAAGATAAAGTAAGTATTGCCCATAATTCTAATAAAATGAAGTTTTTATTTAGAATATTAAATAAAGAAAACAAATACCGAACTCTTAATTGAAATTAGCACTTGTATTTGTTTTGTTTTTAAAATTGCCTTGTTATCAGTAAACCCTAATTATTGATAAACATTACAGATACAATATGTACTAGGAAAGCTAAGCAAGCTTCCTATTAGAACATCCCATTTAGAAACCACTGGGGTAGGAAGGACAGTTAATGCTTTGAAAAAGTTTGGGGGAGAGGTTGGAGAAATTGCCAAAGACTTGGTGATATCTTGGAAGGAAATGGTACTGGAAGAAGAGAAAGCTGCTCAAGAAACTTCAATGGGTATGTAATAATAATAATGTGTATTTACTAACCTAGATTGTTTATTTTCTATTAATTCATCATAATCATCATTCTGGCTTTACAACCCTGTGGGCAGTTTCGCAACTGTGGATAAACATTATTTATAAAATATTAACAGACTTTGTAGTAGTTTTGATTCTCCCTGTATATCAAGATTACAGCTTACAGCCCGTACAAAAATACATCTGTGTTAAAAACTAATTTACAAATCCAGCCAGCTGGGAAATAATAACATAGGGGATTCATTACATACATAATCATAGTCAAGTTTTATTTTTCAAACCGCACAGATGCGTGTGTGTGTGTGGGTTAAGGGTACCTGCGACTTAGTATTGGTCTGGCGACCAAGAGAGACGTCAAATTTGTGGGTCCTGTATATGTTGCTGAAGACGTTTGCGATAGCGGAGGTGCTATCTTTTCGTTGGGTAAGGAACAATACACCATTTATCTATGTTGCTGTATATATCAAGTACGCGCACTTGGTATATTTATTTGATATTTGTTTGGAACATTATTACATTTGTGTCGCGATCGCGATTGAACATTGTCCATTAAACATTTTGCATTTGTTTCGGTGTATTTACTGTATTGTATATTTTTTTGTATTTTGTTAACACAGATTTTATTTCTTGTATGTTTTGTATTAATAATTGTATTAATTATGTGTATGCACTGCATTCTTCATTTGTTTTTATAACATTAACATATGTATCTGTAATTAGGTTGTTTTTTTTTTGTAAGACTATTAATTTGTCTTTTATCTTTTTATGTATAGTATGTTTGTGGCTATGGTAGGTATGTCAGTGTTTTTTTTTAGAATCAACATTTTTGTTTTGTTTATGGTTGTCTTTTGGTATGTTGTTTCATATTGCCTAATATTTAAGTTTGTGTATATTTTTCTTTAGTTATAATTGTATATGGTTATGTATATTTATGTTTAATGTCATCTGCTTGTTAAAATAGAGTTTAATACAGTCCTCTGACTTTCTTTTTTTATTTCAATATATGTACCCAATCTGGAAGGGGGAAACCAGCGAGTTCTAGATTGAACAGAATATCTTCTGTCCCCTTCAGGATGACCCCAATTGTTATATTGAGGTCATCGTATGTGCAGAAGGCAACACTAGCCTTCTCAAGAATTTATCACTAGTTGTACCTATTCATTGCCTTCCTCCACTAAGTATGTATTTTCATATTTCTTATGTCTTCATCAATGTTATTAAGGAATCTTGTTCTGGGTCTTCCTCTTCTTCTCTGACCAATGAGTCTATCAAGGAGCATTTTTCTACCTAGTTCATTTTATTCTATCTGCATTACATGCCATACCCACCTCAGATATCCTATCTTAATATATTTTACCATATTTGTATTAATTCACTTACTAAATTTATTATTGTAAAAAAATATGTTACCATACCATATAAAAAGAGTAGGTTTATTTTCTTAAAAGATAACTCTGCTATGTTGTTGAGTTTTTGCAATAAGTTTATATATATATTACTAATATTTTATCCATATCCATCCAGTCCAATAAGGTGGTAGATAAATATTTTGCCATCATTTTAAATTCTTGTGCCACAATTGTATGTCTACATTTTCTATAGCAAAAACTGAGAATTGGAAAATAAGTGTTAAATAAGTGTTATATTAATTCATATAATAACTATATTATATTATCTCATAACTGTAATAATGTACGTTTTTTTTTAATATTTGACAGAGACTGAGGAAGATGCAGACTCAAATTATTCAAGTGAAAATGAGAATAAAGACTGCGAAAAAGATGTATCTAAGGAGGCAGTAAGTAGTACATCAGATGGAAATGAAAGTGAAGGGTATGATAGTAAACGAGAAGTTCCTAGTAGGAGTGATACAGAAAAGAAGTCAAGTAATGAGAAATATAGAAAGAATGATAGTAGGGACAGTTCTTCTGAGTCATCAGAATCAGAAGAAGAAAAGAATAGTAAATATGATAAACATAATTCTAGTAAAAGAAGACATTCTTCTGAATCCAGTTCAGATAGGCATAACACTAAAAAAAGTAGCAAAAATAAGGAAACAAGGAAAAGAAGGGATTCTTCAGAATCTGATTCAGATGATAGGCATAGTTCTAAGAAAAGTAGTAAGGATACTAAAAAGAGAAGACATTCCTCAGAATCTAGTTCAGATGATAGACATAGTTCAAAAAAGAGCAGAAGGGATGCATCACCTAAAAGTAGTCATAAACACAAATCCTCAAAAGATGAACACAAATCCTCTAAAGATGAAAAAGAAAGGAACAATAAGAAAGATAAACACTCATCAAGTAAACATAGGGAGAATTCAGAAAAGCATAAAAGTAGTTCAGAAAAACACAAAGACAGCTCTGAAAAGTCTGAATCAAAGCATAAATCAAAGAAAGATTCTGAAGAAGAAAAGAAGCATAGATCAAAAAAGGAACATGAAGATTCACATTCAAGTAACAAATCAGAAAAACATAAAAAGCCTGAAGAAAGAGAAAATTCTCATTTGAATGCTAAATATGAAAAAAGTAAAAAACATGAAGAAAAGTCTGATAAACATTCACAATCTAGTCATTCATCTAAACATAGGGATAAAGATTCACCTCATTCTAGTTCTGATAAGAAAAATAGTAAAGAAAAAGATAAAAGGGAAAAAGAAAAAGAAAAATATGAATCTAAAAAGGAAAGAAAAGAGGAAAAGAAACCCAAAGAAATTATTACAGAACAGAAGAAATCTGAACATAGTAAATCCAAAGAATCCTCTTCATCTTCAAAACATGATAGCACTGAAAAGAAAAATAAGACAAAGAAGGACAAAGAAGTTGTTAAAAAAGTCCCCCAACAAAAGATCATTCATGGCATTGATTCAGAATCAGGAGCGAGCTTTGCTGAAGCTCTTGGGATGTGTGGTCCTTACGTATCTAGTCCTAAAAAGAAACCTATTGTAGAAAAAAAGAAGGAGAGCAGTAATGTAGACAAGTATGTAGATAGTGATGAGTATGAGCCTATTAGCAAACCCAAGACTAAATATGATGATGTATCTACCACTAGCAGTTCTTCATCAAAAGTGGTAAGTTCGTCTCTTTTATAAAACATAATTTTGATAAATAATACATTTAAAACTAGTTTTCTATTTAAATGTTTATCAAAACAAATTTGTTTAATTTATTAATGTTTGTATTTTGAGAACCATTTCTGAAGCGGAAATTGAAAAGTTAATAAACATACTTTAATTAATAACCCTTAGTTGTGGCTTATTCCCATTTAAATAGTAATTACTTTAAAATGCCACAAGAAAATAGCTTCAGAACAATATTAGATGGGTGTTTGATCAATCAGTTGAAGCATTTCGGGTCTTGTTGTACATGATTTAGTTTCAAGATTTCCTAGGCATTTTGCACATCTTGCTTGCCTATTACTTACAGAAGTTGTGTGTGTGGCCGAATAGTTGGCAATTCTTACATTGTGGTACAAAGTTCCATTTTCTAGTAGACTTAATTTTAACCTTAAACTGACTGTTGTTTTAATATCGTAAATTTTTATCTATCTATATTTTTATTAGTAACAGCTAGCAAGCAGAGGGGCAATCATTTTTTCCATCTTGTGATCTTTTTCTGTCCGTGTAATTTTCCTTTCTAATACTTTAGTGGCCGAATTTTAGTGCTTGTTTTTTAAAGCCATTTATTATTGTGACCTGTGAACTGTTTATATTCATAAGGATGTCACTGAATTTTGGTAGCATTTACAAATTTTTAAGCTTTCTTAAAGTCATTCACATTATTCGTAACAACAATGAAAATTGAAATATAAAAAAATATAAGGAATGCCATGAATATACGAATTTGAGGATTCCCATGCAGTTTTATAAAATTCTTTAGATCAACAGTACTCATTAGACATAAGTGCGTATGACAAAATCAAATGTACTTGTATTTTTTAATAATTTGTCAGACACACCAGCCTGTTTTCAAATTCATCCCATCGATATGATATTTTAGAAGAATGTATATGTTATGAATTTCCTTTCCTCCAACATAAGACAAGAACAAAACTTCTATATGGTGCAGTAGATTATGAAAGACTTTGATTAAGGCTGTTTTCGCAGTTATAGCATACTGCGATTTGAAGTGGGCGTATCACTTACTTTTCTACACTGCTATGTCAGACCCTACGTTTGGATGTTTATTCAGTGGCGCCGGCCCACGGGTTGTTTAAAATAAATGCATTATTCTCCATTCAAATTAGTTTTGTCGGAATACTTTTTTTTAGATTAATTATCGTAGATAATGTTTTAAAAAGAATTAATCACATTTTTAATTTATATGTCTTAGCTAAACATAGTATTAAATAAAAATTTGTGAAACGTGACTGCAAAAAACACCATGGTGTTTATTTATAATAAATTTAAATTTTGTTATATTAATATTAATATATAATTAATATTTTGTTAATATTTGTTAGAGAAAACTGATATTAGCGTAGTAAAAATTAAACAAAAAATATTTTTATTTATCTATAAAAAATTGGTACCTGCGAAACCATCATAATAGTAAATGTATTTATCTGGCAAGTATTTCGAGGCGACGCACTGCGAGGAAAAAGTTCTCTGAATGGAATATACATTATTTTAATATATTTATAGGTTGCAGTTACATAAGAAAAGTATCCAATTGATGAATAAAACACAAATCGTGGATAGTTATTTCATCATATCAGTGGCATTTCAGCTCATCATGAGCCAAAGGCTTCTTCAGAACAATCTTCCATTCGCCCCTGCCTCTGGCAACTTTCTCCATGCTTTAACTCAGATGGATTTTAGATCATCCTCTATGTTATCTTGATACCTAAGTTTTGGTCTTCCTCTGGATCGTCTTCCCACTGGTCCTCTTCGGTCGAAAATTTTTCTGATCGTTTCATCTTCATCTCGCCTAATTACATGTCCTATCCATCAAAGGCGTACTAATTTAATAAATTTTACAACGTCAGGTACTACACCTGAAGAAGCATCGTAGTTTACTTTATACGATCTTTTTGACCAAGCACCATCAGCTATAACGGTTATTAACCCATTTCCGTCGGAATCTACTTCACCAATTTCTTTGGCTAAAGCTAATTCCTCCCGTCCAGCCTCTTCTAAGGAATCACAAAGTGTTTGGCCGATGATATCTGCAACTGTTTCCGTATGTTTTGCATACTGCTTGTAGGAAATCACAGGTATATTTAATGCAGCGTGCTGCTGCTGTATGTCTGAATAACCAGAATCATTCAAGTTCAGTGAATTGTTACCAGAATCCTATGTTGCTATCTCCTTTTCAATATTCCACATTTGACATTTAAAAGTCAATGTACTTATCAATCCGTCCATTTTTTCTTTGATAATCTCCATATTAGAAAAGTTGCATGAAAATGGAGAATGATTATTCAAACCTTGAATATATATATATATATATATATATATATATATATATATATATATATATATATATATATATATAAAGTTAAATAAAAGCTTTTAAAAACGGTTGGTTGTAATATAAATAATAAATACTAAAGCAGTGCAATTGCTCTCCTTTTCCTTGACATAGGACGTTTACTGGGACTCATTTTTTATCTTGTCTCTTATAACTTATATCACTAACCTAATGTAATACTTAAAAATACGCGTAAACTAAAGAACTTTTAACTTATACCACTAAACTAATAATATATTACTTAACATACACGTAAACTAAATAATTTCAATGTTTTCAAAATAAATAAGAATACTGTAAACTGTAAAAACTAAGCAAGTTGATAAAGAAAATACAAGAATGAAAGAACTAAAATGGATTCTAATTCAAGCGAACTAACTGACCGTACCCATAGAGAAATAAAAATAAGACCGTACCGTACGCTCATGTGATTTGACGTCACTAATGCGATAACCATCGAGCTCAGCGACAATGATGAGGAACACGTTTCACTATTAGATTTCAGTATTTTTTAGCAATTTTCTTCAAAGTTTGAATACGCTTTTCTCGATTATTACTGTACACAGAAAGGTGAAAAAAGAATCAACGATTACAGAAAAAAAAACTCTTTCAACTGATGGGCGTGAAAAGTTTGGTTATAATAGAACGTTTAAACAGTATAATCCAATTTTTCAACAGAAAATTCAAAAAAATAAAAAAAGTAAAACCATCAGTTTAAAGGCAACATAATTTCGTATTTCATGTCCAAATTTCGAGACATTTCGTCGGTAAATAACAGAGAAAAAATTTTGGTGCACCGATAAAACAGCCTTAACTAATCTTTGTCGAAGCAAGATACAATTCGATTTTGAAGAAATGTTTAAATGACCACTTTGCTATTTCAAGTATATACATTTAATATGCAGAAAGAGCGAGATGTGCACTAAGACAGGATATGGTTCTATTAACTGAGAACTGTGATATATAATGCATATTTCATAGAGCGCCGAGATGAGTCCTACTAAGGACGAGCTATTGCGTGATAAAGCATCGAGATAATTGTCCGACTGCAGACTAGAAATTGTCTTTCTTACAGGTAAAGAACCAGCATTTTATGGAGATTTTAAACAAGGGGATATTTTTTCTATCTTTTCTTATGATCTCGTAGCTTTGTAAATTAAAAAGCAATAAAAATTTTTACAACCGTCTATTAAAACCTTTTAGTGAGAATAAAACGATCAAAAATGCAGGTATTGAGTTCGAATTGTTTTTCATGACCATAAAAGGAATTTTGACGTGGATTATTGACGAATAAGATTTTCACTTCGGGTATTATTTAAATAATATATACAAAAAGGATCTGATCTAAATACGCAGGTGTGTAAAAGAATGGATTAAAATTGTTTGTTTTGTACCGATAATGTTGAACCATCAGATATTATGTATGTAATATATGAGAAAGGGTCCGTAATTTATCAGATAAAAACTTATTTAACGAAAATTTTACCTTTTGCGATAAAGTAAGTACACTCAAATTCAAAAAAATGCAACAGAGAAAATTTTGGTCATTTAGTTTTTTTTTATTTTTTCCCTATTTTGATGATTTTTTTAGCACACTGTGTAAAAATTTATAAATTTCAATTTAGTATAGTGAGTTTTTTAATAAAATTTTGTATTTGACTTATTATACTGGGGTTAATCGAAAGGTGGTTTGCGAATATCATCTTACTGGATGTTTTGCCATTCCTCTTCTAGAGCCAAGCGAAGTTCGTGAATTTGGGCTGGTGCGACTTTGCGACCTCTAATATTTCTACCAAGCATGTCCAAAACGTTCAGCTGGCTAACGGGCAGTTCATTTTATTAATACCAACTTCCTATAAATATTGCGTGACACACATTTCAGAGTGGGATCGCGCATTATCTTGCATTAATAGAAAATCATCGCCGATATGTTGAGAAAAGAGTTCTACGTGATTCGCTAAAATTTACTAATATACCGGTATGCAGTCAACGAATCCTCAATAAATACCAATTCAGTGTGGGCCACTCAGGATATTCCTGCCAATACCATCACCGAACCCCCTCCATGGCTAACGAGGGGACTGAAAGCGCACTCCGCAAATCTCTCTCCAATTCGACGCCATACAAGTGCTCTCCCATCTGATGAGTGAAGACAGTATCTCGACTCATCCGTAAAAAGAACATTACTCCATTGTCCTAAATTCCAATGTAAATGTTCCCTGTAACATTGTAGTCTAGCCACTCTGTGCCGTAGAAATAATTTGGCCCCAGTTGCTGGTCTGCAACTTTGCAAACCAAATTCATGTAATCTTCTTCTTCTTATGGTGCCCTATCCAATTAGTGGATGTTGGCTACAATTCTGGCGTACTCCTCATCTTGTGTGGCTCTAAAGAGTGCATGGACATCGAGGTTTGTCCAATCACTTATGTTTTTAAGTCATGAGTATTTCTTTCTTCCGATGCCCTTTTTCCTTCTACCTTCCCTTCCCTAATCAGCTTCAAGAACTGGTATTTGGAATTTCGAAATATATGACCCAGATAAGCAGTTTTTCTTCTTGTTATTATTGGCAGCAATTCTCGTTCTCTGCCCATTCGATTTAATACTTCGACATCTGTTGTGTGATCTGTACAGGGAATTTTAAGTAGTCTTCTAAATACCCACATTTCAAAGGCCTCCAATCGGTTCATCACATTGGCCTTTATTGTCCAGGTTTCTACACCATATAGCAGTATGGAGTAAATGTAACATTTTACAAAGCGATATCGAAGCATTAAGTTAAGGCTGCTGTTGCTTAGCAAGGTTCTCATATTTATTCTCTAGCCACATATTTGTAATTTCGCCCATCTTCAACCAGAGCAACGGCTTTCGCACAATCTTCGACACTAAGAACCATGATTAATCATAGGTGAACAAAGTGTAAGTGTCAATATGACATAATGATAACAATCACCAAAGCCACCTCGTCGTATTACAAAATAACTCCAAAATAATCATAATTAAAAAAGTCCTAAATTGTGGGTGGCAAATTCATTTGGCTCTAAAAAATGAACCCAGGCATATTTTGACGTGAAACAAAAAACACAATGCTTAGGAGACATGGTTGCAACCGAAAAATAGGTGTTATGAAAATTCGCAAACGGAATTATTTCACAGGATGTTTCAAAGTTATCAGTTAGGATAATAAAATCACGTTTTAATTAACCCGGTACCATAAGTCAAATATAAAATTTTATCAAGAAACTGACTATACCAAATTAAAATTTATAAATTTATACATAGTGTGCTAAAAAATCGTCAAAATAGGGCTTAAAATAAAAAAACTGAAATACTTTGAATTTGACCAAAATTTTCTCTGTTGCGTTTTTTTTTGCATCTGAGTGTATATTCCAAAGAAGTATAGTACAGAGGCGTATTTAATAAAGAAATATGTTGGGGCACTATTTATGTTGCAGGCTGTAACAGTATAAATAAAAAAATTCCTTAAGAAGGAAAAAACTGATACTAGATACTACTATAACATTCAAGTTTAATCATTTGTAAATAGTATTTGTTGTGTTTTTCACACAACCAAAGGCTTGAATTTTGAAACTCACTTCTTTCAAAAATTTTTATAATGTATTTTTCAAGAATTTCGGATTGTGTGTCTGGTTCCTTTATTTTGGGGCTATAGCTATCAAAATGCCTCAACCTTATTTAGTAATTAAATAATATATTCTTTTAGGTTGTGCCTAGTTTACTGAAAGAACCAGAACCTTTGAATATCTCTTTGTCTAGCCTTTTGCCAGAAATTTCCCCGAATTATAAACCCTTAGGTGTATATCTTTCGATAATCAACCCAAGCGTATTATATCTGATGATGAGGCGTTAAGTAGAGTGATGATGAATAAGAACCAGAGGTGAGTATTATTTTGTTTGATTTCTGAATCATTATTAATATTAAATATGGAGGTTCATATAAGAGTATATTGGAAGAGAATGGCAAACAAAGACAATGGCTATAGATAAATGGCAAAAGATACATGCCCAAAAAGAGGGGAAATATAGCTAAAGGAATAGAACATAATAAAAAATACTCATTTGTCCCTATTTTTAAAACATATGGAGACTACAGGATTGTAGTTTAAAAATTTTAATGAATTTGCAATCTACAATTGTATTGAAATATATATGTTTTGATTTATTATTTAATTTTTCTTAATTTTTAGGACAAAGGTATACTCTGGAAACAAAACAATTGGCAAAGTTGAAAGTTTGTTTCAACTATGTGTTCGAATTCTCCAAGATAATATCGATGGTATGTAATTCAATGTTTAAACTATTACATAGATCATATTTATATGATCTATGAACTCATTTTTATTAATTTTTTTATTTCGGTAGTCAGGTAGTCAGCAGTTTTCTTCTAGGAAAGAACTCAGTTTCTTTATTATTACTTTCTCCAGATTTTTAGCAAGTATTGCTAATAAATTACTGGATCTATATATGAAGTTACGGATTCTAAAGGTTTGCCTATTTTAAGGATTAAAATAACCTGAACCACTTTCCATTGTGAAGGAAAATATCCTAATCTTAATACCGCGTTGTAGATTTGTTTTAACAACAAGAGCGCATTGTGTGGTAATAATGACACAAGACAAATTTAATAATTAGCTCGATAACTAGGAGCTTTATTTTTATTAGTATTGAGTATTGCGTCAATAGTTTTGGTTTTTCTAAAAGGTTTAATAGGCAAAGACATGTGTTATGGGCAGTCCAAATATCTGTGAATGTTTTCCTCTTCTCTGGTTGCAACTCAGAGGGAAACGGAGTAAAGGTAGTTTCCAGGTGTTAGAGAAATAAATTTGCCTTTTCATCATCAGGTTTCTCTTTTCTTCAATTTTTTGTGTAATGGCCTCAGGATAGAACTCCTTGATAGGTTTTTATTGTGAGGTGGTGGGGTGAATTCACAGCACGCTTTCTCAATTTTCCTTCTTATTTTGTTCCATGCCATCAATGATAAAGTAATTTCATAAATAAACACAAAATTATAACTTGATACGTTTTTTATATTAAATTCAGAAAATTACACTCGTGATAGAAGTAATCGTAGTTCGATGTCGATTGTCTGAACCCAGATAACTGCTTAATCAGAAGCTGTTACGAAGTCGTAGGCTATACCTTGGGGCACTCGGGTTGGCCACTCGTTTGTATGTGATTCATATTTCTTTCGTTTTCTCCACAGTCGTAATTAGAGCCCTAACACATTCAATATAACTAAAGATTGACTCCGCACCTTTCGTGGCTAGTCTGGAATTTATTTATAGTGGACCATATTTAGATGAAGCGTACACAGAGGAAATAAACAATAGGTTCTCTAATATGGCAACTGAGGATGATGTTGAAAAGTCATGGACCACCATAAAAGAATCATTTGATGAGGTGAACAACACTTTTCTACTCGAGAGTAAAACAACTACCAAGAATGAGTGGATGACAGAAGAAATATTAGAGATGATGGAACAACGCAGGCAGTGTAAGATTAGGCAGGACCAAGTAGGGTACCGAAATATACATAGTCAAATTCGTAAAGAAATTATAGCGGCGAAGGAGATCTGGATGATTACACTTTGCACCGAGGCTGAAAACCTATATAAACTCGGCGACAGCTTCAATCTTCACAAGAAAATTAAGGAAATTGCTGGTGTCTTCAAGAAAAAAACAAGCCACTGGTATACATAATGACCAAAATGAACTAATAACGGACCCTTGCGATATACTTAATACTTGGAAAATGTACACAGCCAATTTGTTCAATGATGACAGAACACAAAAACCACCACAACAGGGAGACCATTTGTATGGCCCAAGTATTTTGAAAGCTGAAATTGTACACGCTATCAAACTATTAAAAAGTAACAAAACCCCAGGACCAGATGATATGTACGCAGAAACAATCAAGTTACTTAATGAAGAAAACCTAGACATTATCGTCAAGCTCTTTAACGACATCTACGATACGGGCCAGATTCCAAAAGATTGGCTTCGATCTACATTTATCGCCCTACCAAAAACACCACGTGCGAACTTCTGCAAGGACCACCGACTAATAAGCCTAATGAGTCACTTTTTAAAACTTTTCCTGAGAATACTTCACACTAGATTGTTTAAGAAATGTGAAGAGGTCAGTGGATGGAGTCAGTTTGGTTTCAAAAATGGACTTGGCACGAGAGAAGCGATCTTTAGTATGCAAACATTAATACAGAATTGTTTAGATCAAAGAAAGGATGTTTTTGTCTGTTTCATCGATTACGAGAAAGCATTCGATAACGTAAAACACGAATTGATGATAAAATACCTACAAGAGTTGGGATTGGATGCCAAGGATATAAGAATTATCGCCAATCTGTATTGGAACCAGACAGCAACAGTACGTCTTCAAAATTTCAACGAAACAGAAGATTTCTCCATTAAAAAAGGAGTAAGGCAAGGTTGTATACTGTCTCCAATACTGTTCAATTTATACGTAGAAAAAGTCTTCGCAGAAGCAGTGGCAGACTCTAATAAGGGTATTAAAGTTAACGGCATATTTATTAATAACATCAGGTATGCCGATGATACAGCCATAGTGGCAGATAACATCGAAGATCTTCAATGCCTTTTAAATGATCTAACTCGTGCAAGTGAAGCTCGGGGTTTGAAAATAAATATCAAGAAGACAAAAACAATGATTATAAGTAGAAATGATTACCCCAACGCAAAGATATATGTCTCTGGAGAAGAAATCGAACAGGTCAGGCAATTCAAATACTTGGGTTGTTTGCTGAACGAGGGTTGGGACCCCGAAAATGAAGTAAAGAGCAGAGTTGAACAAGCCAGAAATGCTTTTTTGAGGGTTCGTAAGTTTCTGACTGATCGCAAATTGGACTTCAACCTCCGATACAAGATGCTTAAGTGTTACGTGTGGCCTGTTCTCCTATACGGAATGGAATCAGGGACGTTAAAGGCCAGTTCTATTAACAAACTTAAAGTGTTTGAAATGTGTGCCTGCGTCGAATGCTTAGAATATCATGGACGGACAGGGTCAGAAATGAGGAAGTACTTAGAAGAGCGGACTTACAGGATAGGGAACTTTTTAGTTATATAAAAAGTAAGAAGACTGCATACTTGGGGCACATATTACGAGGAGAAAGATACACTTTTCAGCAACTGATACTCGAAGGGAAGATGGAGAGTAGGAGAGGTCTGGGACGTAAAAAAAATGTCATGGCTGCGCAATATTCGACAATGGACAGGAATCCACAGCTATGAAATGCTTCGCAATGCTCCTAAAAACAGAATTATTTAATCCTGAATATTTAACATCTCACCTGACAAGACGATGTACGGTGGACGCCTACGCAGAAATGCACGGCACCTTAAGAAGAAGAAGATATTTAGATGTGTAGGTCCAAGCCAAGCGTAGCTATTTTTACGCCCAGTAGAGCGTGATGATCGAGTTCACCAAGTTCCGCCGATCAGCTAACCAGGTTTCAGAACAATATAGCTTGTGCCTGGGAGAAGTTTGGCGGTTTTTATTGGCGCATTTCTAGACCTAAATATTTGTAAATCTATCAAATCTTTATTGATTGGCAAATCCATAAAGATATTGTTTGTCTGATATTTGGTTCTATAGGGCTTAAAACGGAGAAACTTGGAAATATAATAGTGTTTTTCAAGGGATCCACCGATTATGGACATCGTCTGATTGAGAACAGTGTTTTTATAGAAGACATGGAAGTAAAGGAGCTGCAAGAGAATTCTGTTTTTCTGTTGGAAGTAGACCGATTCTTCTTGTCGTGAAGTATGAGACCTCTTCCAGACCTGTTCAGGACATGTTTAAGATCTGTTTAAGATTTGTTACATACTTGATCAAAGGCTGCTCTAATGGTGACTAATTGCCTCTGATCAGGTATGGAACAGGTCTCGAACAGGGTTGGAAGAGGTTTGGAACAGGTCTCGTATCTCACGAGCAGACAAGCTGTTGTATTCCCACCAAAAAAAAGATAAAAATAAACAGATTGTATCTCAGCGTTTTCTTATGAGTTTTTACATGGAGAAATGAGGTTCTCTTGCCAACCTCATTGTGCATGGAGATTGTTGAACCATGATAAAGCACAATACTCTGCTATGGAAAAGACAAGATTTCAGGCCGAAAAAGTTCCGAACGTGGTGGAATCTGCTCCCCAGGTCGATGTTACAAGTTTCTGCAGGATATTATTCCGGGTATGCATCTTTTATGTTAAATTTGTCAGGTGTTTGTTATACTTAGGGTAAACGCTCGAACGTAACACCTAAATAATATTTTGGAATATTAAAGTAACTTCTAGACGTATCTGATTCTTTAGATAGGTTTAGGTTTTTGTAGTACTTGGGGTTAGTCTCCATTTGTCAATGTACTCATTCAGTAGGCTCAGATCATTGGACAAGCTGTCCAATGTTGGCTGGACAAGCAATAGCTATTTCATCTTTAATATCCGAATTTCCTAGATGCTGACAGGAATAGTCACAATATATAGGTCGAAAAGAAGCAGAACTAATATGGAACCTTGAGTAAGATTGTTTAAGCATTTATGTATTGACTTTTAAGACTTTATACAGATGTATATAGTTACAGCCTGTACTCGATCGTGGCAGCTGCGATTTGGTCTGAAGCCAGCTTGATCTATTGGTATTTCTCCAAGCGCAAACGAACTTATTACGTTGGATATTAATCGTTTAAGAAGCTTAAGTATGTTAAGCCAGCAAGTCTTTAGCTCTGGAGAATCGTATCATATATGTGCAATTATCCAATCAATAGACTATAATGGAATTCTGAACGTTTGATTTCTTAATATGCGAAAAAGTAATTTTATTATTAGATTAAATACACAAATGTTTTTGTTTCTTTTTTAGCTTTAGAATATACAGGTGGAGTCCCTTATATAATCCTCAAACCCATAATGGAGCGCGCTACGCCAGACCAGTTGTTCAACCTGGAGCACCATAATCCATATTTGATAGAAGACACTGATGGGCTATGGAAGTTGCACTGTCAAAAGGATTTCCGCACCAAGAGGCGTGAGGAGATGGAATCGTGGCGGGATATGTACATGCGATGTTTGGACGAAAGAGAAGCGAAACTAAATGCTGTGACGGCGACTATTAAACAATCTCAGGACAAGTCTATACCAGTCAGGACGACTAAGTTGGCTTATGTGGAAACTGAATATGTCAAGCCTCCTAGGAATGTGGCTCGAAAGCAGGTTAGTGATTATAATCAATGTGCAATTAAAATCTGTCGAGATACCTTCTTAACAAACGTTTCCATGAACAATAACTTAATTCTCATCAAATACCGGTAAAATACAAACTGGAGTGACAAACTGAAATCCTTCTACGCTTAAAAGAGTTGAATCATTTCTTTTGAAGATATTGAAGAATGTATGCTACCATTACAGACTAATGTGTCAACGTTTACATACCTGGTGGTCCGATAAGTACTTAGCTTTCTTCTTCGCGTGCCATATCAGAATTATTCGACGTTGGCGATCATCATTGCGAAGGTTTCTCGATCTTCTGCAATATGGAATAATTGTCCTGCATTTGATATCTGAGTCCATTCACGAATGTTTTTTAACCAACAAACTTGTTTTCTTCCTACACCTCTACGGCCCTCTATTTTGCCTTTAAGGATCAATTGTAAAATTTTATATCGACTTCCCCTTACGATATGTCCCAGATAAGACATTTTTCGATGTTTAACAGTCTTTAGCAGTTCTCTATCTTTGTTGACGCTCCTTAGTACTTCTTCATTAGTTTTTCTTGCTGTTCAAGGTATCTTCAGCATTCGTCTATGAACCCACATTGCCAATGCTTCAATTTTATTCATAATCGATACTTTTAGCGTCCACACTTCTGCACTATACAAAAGTACGGACCAAACATAGCACTGAACCATTCTTTGGCTTAGCTCTAAACTCATATGGTTATTGCAAAGAAATGACTTCATTTTCATAAAAGTAGTTTTAATCATTGCTATTCTACGTTTTATTTCTATGTCTGGATCTAGTTGGTCCGTTATCACAGTTCCCAAATATGTCATTTTGTGAACTTTCTCAACTTGGACTCAGTTCAATTGAAGCTTTGCATCGGGATGTGGGTCACGACTGAACACTAAAAAGTTGGTTTTGTTTGAGTTTATTTTAATGCCCATTTCCTCTTCTACCTCGAGAATACGATCAAGCAGAATTTGAAGACCTGCATATCTAATCACATTAAGTAGTTCCCCGTTGATTTTTATTCCATATGGTTGTCTCTCAAGTGCCTATTTAAATAACTGGTCCGAGTAAACATTGAACAATGTTGGTGACAAAATGGAATCTTGTCTGACTCCTCGTTGTATGGGGATTTCATCGGTGTAGTTATCTCCAATTTTTCCGGTAGCAGTTTGATTCAAGTACAAATTTTTAATGACACGAATATCCTTGTCATCTACTATTCCGATATTTTTCAGTATTTGCATTAATTTTACATGCTGTACTTTATCGAATGCCTTTTCGAAGTCCACGAAACATGCAATTACATCTTTTCTTTGGTAACGGCATTTTTGTAATAGGATGTTAAGCGCAAAAAGTGCCTCTCTGGTTCCCATAGTATTTCTAAAACTAAATTGGGTATCTTCAAGATCTTCTTCGCATTTGCATCTAATTCTGTTGTGAAGTATTCTGAGGAAAATTTTAAGAGTGTGGCTCATTGGGCTAATTAATCGATATTCTGAGCATTTTCTCGCATTGTGTTTTTTTAAGTATTGCGATAAAGATGGATTTCAGCCAATCTGCGGGAATCACTCCGGTGTTATATATTGAATTAAGAAGTCTTACTACTACTTTTATGTTATCATTCTCTATTAGTTTCAGCAACTCAGTTGGTGTATCATCTGGACCACAAGCTTATCTAATTTTAGCATTATTTATAGCGTGTTCTACTTCGCATTTCATAATTTCTGGGCCGTCAGTTTTGGTAGAATTCGGCAATATTATTCCTGTCATCTTCAAACAACTCTGATACATACAGCTGCCATTCTTTTCTTATTTCGTACTCATTTACAATATTTTTGTTATTATTGTCAACAAGTACAGAGGGAACTCGTTTTTTAAATATATTACTCATTTCTTTCAGTTTTTTGTGCACATTAAATAAATCGTGTTTAGATATTACATCCTCCATTTCGTCGCAGCTTTTTCTCATCCATTTTTCTTTGGCTAATTTGATCTCCTTTTTTATTCTTCTCTGCAGGTGTCTATATTCTGTTACATTAGATTTTATCGGTCGACGTTGTTCCATTAATTTCAAGATGTCGTCTGTCATCCATTTATTTTTCTTGATTAAGTTTTTTCTATAATCATTTTTTGTGGAGATTTCGTTAACTTGGTTTTTAAATTCACTCCATAGTTCTTCTGGATCTTCTAGTTGTTCTTCAATGTTTTTTATTCTATTGTTAAATTCTTTTTTAATGTTATGTTTTATGTTTATATCGTCAAAGTTAAGTACATTGGTTTTTGGTTTTTGTCGCTGAATTCTGATCCGAATGATCAGATCCAATATCTGCCCCAGGATATGTAGTGACTTTTTTGACGGAATTTCGGAAACGCTCATTTACAAGTATATAGTCTGTTTGATTTCTTGACGACTCAGAGTTATTGCCATCATCTAATGGGGCTTTCCAAGTGTATATTCGTCGCTTGGGTAGTTGATACCAGGTGTTTGCAATGATCATATCATTTTCTTTCCAAAATTCATACAATCTCTATCCTTGATCGTTAGGTTGTCCCAAACCATAAGGACCTTCAGTCTGAACTGGTCGATCTTCCCCAATTTTTGCATTGAAGTCGCCTATAATATATAAAATTTCGTGTTTATTAAGTTTCTCTAAGATGACTTGGATCTGATCATACAAGTTCTCGACTTCAAGTACTTAGTCTACAAAAGAAAAAAGAAAATTTTGGTGAAGATTTATTTCTCGCCATAGTCTCCTTTTAGCTCGATACACTTAAACCAGCGATAGTCCAACTTATTTAACTCGTCTGAAAAATATATTTTCTCGAGATCTGCTTCCGTGGCGGCGATGGCAATGGTGGAGTTCCGATTGCAATGAAATGCAATCTTTTACTTTCATATATATATATATATATATATATATATATATATGTTAGTTTTGATATTTCCGCGGGAGCTGTATGTTATATCAATGGTATTCCGGGTTTGACTCCGCGTGGAACACTTCCACTCGAACATCGACAAGAAGCAGACCATCCAGAGAGACTTGAAAATGGCAAGTGAGATCTTGCCGAAACGTCGTCAAAATGGTTTTTATCAAAACCAACAACATTTAACGCGGAGTCAAACCCGGAATACCATTGATATAATATATATATATATATATATATATATATATATATATATATATATATTAGTATAATGGTATAAATATATATATATATATATATATATATATATATATATATTAGTATAATGGTATAAATATATATATATATATATATATATATATATATATATATATATATATATATATATATATATATATATATATAATATTTATATCAATGATATTTTGTCATTTTAGGCTAAAAATGGCACAGTTAATACAGATAGAAAGGTTTTACCTAGCCAAAAAGTTACAGCATTAGCTAAATCCGGTGAAGCTGAGAAGATAGCAGTTCCAGATCCCGGAAAAAGAGCCTCCGACCGATCCGGTTCAAGTAAGTTTCGATTATGTGTCTAGCCATAGTCCTAGATAGTAATTATCGAACAATGAATATTAACTACCTTCACATTCTATTCGCTCCGTGCGTGACTGACGCGACACCTATTGTCTACACACGAAATTGACAATTTATGATGAGTATTAAAAACTGGGTTTTTAAAATTCATCATAGTTTATCTTTTCAATCCCAAACGGAAACGAAAGGGAAAAATCTATTACTGGCAAATCAAGTTTTTCATGTGGAAGAGCATGTAATTAAAAACAATAATATAACAATTGGCAACATCGCACCTAACGATAACTTAGCAACGAAATCATATTCCAGTTATTAATGTTGCAGAAGCGTACCAAAAAAAAATTATTTATTTAAACACATAAGTAATTACGTAAAAATTAAATCTAAGACCGATATAATTATTAAATTACCATGTGTCTTTTAACAGGTATCTTATAGTTGTACTTCATACAAAATGAAGTAAAATTTTATTGCTATTATAGAGTACCTAATACAGTAATTCAAAAAACAGTAAACTTTGCAAAATACTTGTTTTTTCATTAGACTCAACAATCTGAAATTTTAACATATGATTTGGTCGTTACACTTCATTCTCTATTTATAGAATTGCTGTCTGCTGTAAACGTTATATTCGTTGTAAACGATTTTGTCCTTACACTTCATTCTCTATGTATAAAATTGCTGTCTGCTGTAAACGTTATATTTGTTTATTTTTAGTTTGATATGAATTTATTTAATTGTTTATTTAAACACATAAGTAATTACGAAAAAATGTATATAAATTATTATTAAATTATCATGTGTCTTTTGTCACGTATCTTATGGTTGTCTAAAAAATAAAAGTAAAATTTTATTCTTATTAGAGAGTACCTATCTCTCTGTAGAGTAGGGAGAGCGAGTTAAGTTTCACAGCACTTAGGCCACAATTGACCCATTGTGCATCCTCCCAGGGAGCTGTCACCCTTAGCTCATTGTCCATCCTGCCATTTCTAGGAAGGTGGACAAGTCACCAGGAGACATCTCACTTATGTGGGCAGGTGTAGGCCAGGACTCGCCGAACGCGTACTCTCGTATTAACGATAACTCTGGGCATTCACATAGGACATGCTCTACAGTTTCGTCTTCTCGTTCACACTTCCTACATAGAGGTGTGTCTACTAGCCCCAGTGTGTGGAGGTGTTTGCTTAGTTGACAATGACCAGTTAAAAAACCAACTGCCAAACGTAGATTTTTCCTGGTCATTCCCAAGTACTTCTTTGATGTTGACTCTTCAAGGTTACTTAGTGTTACCCTGGCAAGTCTACATCCTTTCCCTTCTTCCCATCTTTTTACGGTTTGCGTATGGGAGTGACATTTGACAATTTCCGCGATTGTTGTAGTTGACCAACCAAAAAGATCCCCAGGTCCTAGGAGTCTTAGGCCTGCCGCCTTCCTAGATAATTGGTCAGCAATGCGGTTGCCTTTATTCCTATTGTGTCCTTTAACCCACTTCAGGATGATGGTATTACCATCCGAAGCTTGAGTTAGTGACTCGTGACACTCCATTACTAAACCTGATGTGACACGTGGTCTATTCAAGGTTAGTAGCGCTTGTCTGCTATCTGTGCAGATCATTATAGTTTTCCCTGCTATACCTTTTTGGGTTATCTCTTTTGCGGCTATGGAAATACCAGTTAGTTCTGTCTGAAGTACACTGGCATTTTTGCCCATACCCCACTTTATTCTTAGGTTCAGTGATCTGGAGTATATCCCGCATCCTGAGCCTTCTTTCATTTTGGAGCCATCGGTGTATATGCAATAGGCATTTGCCACGTTTGTCTCCGTACACTGTCTTGTTTCAATTTTGTAGGGTTTGTTAAAGACGAACTTTGGTTCAATTGAGTCGCAGCCTGCCTGTAGTACTGGTAACGCATCCAGCTCTCCCCGCCAGAAACGAGTTCTCAATTGTCCCATTCCTACATCAAGGTTTGCACCAGCTGAGCGCAGTCGCATCATTGTCACTAAAGCCACCTCTTTGACATATATGTCTAGAGGCGTGATGCCAATGATCAACTCCATTGCAGCAGTTGGTGTTGTTTTCATGGCACCTGTTATATTTATGCAAGCCATCCGCTGAATATGGTTTAGTTTGTTAATCGCTGTTGCCTGTAGCACTTTTGGTACCCAAGCAATAGCTCCGTAAGTTAGCATTGGCCTAATGACAGCGGTGTAGACCCAGGCGATCACCCTGGGCGTGAGGCCCCAGGTGCGTCCAACCGTTCGTCGACACTGTTCATAGGCAATATATGCTCTTTTAGCTCTACCATCTAGGTGTGAGTTCCATGTTAATTTCTTGTCGAGGGTAATACCAAGGTACTTCACCTCGTCAGAAAAATTTAGACTGTAGTTTAGAATCCTTGGGGGTATTAAGCCCGTGATTCTTCTTTTCCTGGTAAAGAGGACCATCTCTGTTTTCTTAGGATTTATAGATAGTGAGTGTTCCTTGCACCATGTTTCTATTAGTCGAAGAGCAACTTGTGATCTCTCACATAGTGTGTTCTCAAACTTACCGCTTTGCAGGACAGCAATATCGTCTGCATAGGCTATTGTGTAGAAACCGTTGCTGTTGAGTTGGTCAACCAGGGTGTCTAGAACTATGTTCCATAGTAGTGGTGATAGCACCCCTCCCTGTGGACATCCCCTCGTAACCATGCCTCTAACAGAAACGTCTTCTACATTTATGCTTATTGCTCTACTAGAGAGCATACTAAATATCCATTTGCTTATGGCCAGGGGAACATTCCTAACGTTGAGCTGTTGGGTGATAGTTGGGAATGTGGTTTTATCAAACGCTCCCTCAATGTCTATGAATATACCTAGGGTGGATTCTTTATTATCCAACGATCTTTCAATTCTTCCCACTACATGATGCAGTGCAGAATCGGTGGATCTTCCCGAAGTATATGCATGTTGATTTGGGTGAAGTGGGTTATGAACCAGAACTTCATCCCTTATGTACCTCTCGCATAGCCTCTCCATCGTTTTCAACAGAAAGGATGTTAGGCTAATTGGTCGGAAAGCCTTTGGTAGGGTGTAGTCCATCCTACCTGGTTTTGGTATGAAGACCACACGTACCTCTCTCCACTTCTTAGGAATATATCTCAGAACCAAAGAGGCTCTGAATATTTCCACGAGGTGCGGCAGAAGGATATCCAGTCCCCACCGTAGTAGGGCTGGATATATGCCGTCAGGCCCTGGTGATTTGAAAGGGGTGAAGCACGATATAGCCCATTTTACCTTTTCCTCATTAATCATTGTTCTGGCGAGATGCCAGTCGTTTGTTGAGGGTATGATTGTTTCTTCCATCCGGTTTGGTGCTGTTGAGACACTAGAACCGGGAAAGTGTGTTTTCATCAGGACCTCAGCACTTTCGCGAAGGTTGGAAGTTTTGTTCCCATCTTCCTTCGTTAGTATGCCGACATGCCGATGTGGGTCCTTTGAGAGCGCTTTTTGTAGCCTGGAAGCCTGCGGGAAATCTTCGATTTCCTCACAGAAGGTTCTCCAAGCAGCTCTTTGTCTTTGTCTGTAGACTTTTTTAAACTCTCTGAGATTTGATTGATAAGAATCCCAATCCTCTTTGAGTTTGGTGCGTTTCGCTCTATTAAAAGCTGTTCTTGCTATCTTTCTAAGGTGTTCCAATTCAGTGCACCACCAAGAGTTGGTTTTGCGACTTTCCTGGACCATCCTTATTGGACAGGATTTTTTATAAGCATAGCTTATTTTGTTTTGGATAGATACCGTATACCTTTCCAATTCTATATTAGTTCCTGGAGTTGAAGCCTTTTCATTCCGCAGAGCATCTTCTAAGAGTCGGTTGTAGAGTTCTACATCCGTCCTCCTAGGGTCGCGTGATTTGACAAGGCTTTTTTCCAGACTAATATTATAGGTTAGCCAGCGGTGGTCAGACATAGAAATATTATCCGATACCTTTTATCTTTTCAATCCCAAACGGAAACGAAAGGGAAAAATCTATTACTGGCAAATTAAGTTTTTCATGTGGAAGAGCAATAATTAAAAACAATAATATAACAATTGGCAACATCGCACCTAACGATAACTTAGCAACGAAATCATATTCCAGTTATTAATGTTGCAGAAGCGTACCAAAAAAAAAATAATTATTTATTTAAACACATAAGTAATTACCTAAAAATTAAATCTAAGACCGATATAATTATTAAATTACCATGTGTCTTTTAACAGGTATCTTATAGTTGTACTTCATACAAAATGAAGTAAAATTTTATTGCTATTATAGAGTACCTAATACAGTAATTCAAAAAACAGTAAACTTTGCAAAATACTTGTTTTTTCATTAGACTCAACAATCTGAAATTTTAACATATGATTTGGTCGTTACACTTCATTCTCTATTTATAGAATTGCTGTCTGCTGTAAACGTTATATTCGTTGTAAACGATTTTGTCGTTACACTTCATTCTCTATGTATAAAATTGCTGTCTGCTGTAAACGTTATATTTGTTTATTTTTAGTTTGATATGAATTTATTTAATTGTTTATTTAAACACATAAGTAATTACGAAAAATGTATATAAATTATTATTAAATTATCATGTGTCTTTTGTCAGGTATCTTATGGTTGTCTAAAAAATAAAAGTAAAATTATATTCTTATTAGGGAGTACCTAATACAGAACTTCAAAAAACAGAAAACTTTGCAAAATACTTATTTTTTTCATTAGACTAAACGATCTAAACTAAATCTAGACTATCAGACAATCTAGACTAAACAAGAAATTTTAACATAGGATTTCGTCACTACACTTCATTCTCTATTTATAGAATTGCTGTGTGCTGTAAACATTATAGTTGTTTTTTTAACTTGGTTTAAAAGTGTTTATTTGTTTTATATTCCATATAAATTAAAATGAAGTAAGCTAAACTATTATCATGTAAATGCGTGTAGTGCATTTGTTTATTTCAATAAATTCTCGAAATATGAAATAAAGGTGGCACTAACTATATACTAAAGAGTTAATAGCTTTGTTAGAAGGAGACTCAGGTTGTAAAAATGCTGCCTCGCTTAATGTGGTTTATTTTCCGACGGAATTAGATGAAGTTTCCAATGTAGAAAACATTGATGATAATAGTTTTTGTGAAGAATCAATAAAATCGAACATTGCAGGTACATATGAAATACAAGTAATTGGCGATTCTGATTATGCTATTCCTCTGAACCACAGATAAAACGTCAAAAGAAAAAACCAGGCAATAAAAGTAAATCCAAATTTGTCTTAAGTTGGGTAACAACAGATACTTCTTTGTACTCAGTAGTAAGTCAACATCAATCTTATTAATATTTAGACAATATAAAAGCCAACGACGGAGGCAAGTCATATATTGAATATTTTTCACTCTTTTAATAAACAAGTAGTTGAGAGCATTCTATATCTTACAAATATTTATGGATCGCAGAATAACCGTCACGATTTTGAGGTGAATTACATATATTTAAAAAAATTTATTGGCATATGTATATTATTTGGTTTACACTCTGCTTCATGTTGTAAGTTTTAGAGCACGAAAGCATGAGAGCATGAGCCGACATATATTTATATTTATAATTTATAATAGTGAATCAGATTCGACAATATTGGCCACATCACAAAAAGAGACAATAGTGCAAGAATGTTGGATGTGCAAAAGTAATACTATTTATTTATGTAAAATGTGTAAAGTGCATCTACACCCCGAATGTTTTGAAAATTTTCACCTTAAAATTTAATGTACATTTCTTCTTCCTTCTTGTATCTAGGTTTTAAAGCCTGTTTCTTGTTCAATATTAGCCTCCTAAATTGTTTAAATTGTCGCACTATATTTTTCGTGGTCTGTCAATATTTCTTCGCCCATTGGGTGACTTATCTCGTGTTATTCGTACTATTTTATCTTCTGCCATTCTACTAATGTGTTCATTCCACTCCTGTTTTTTGTCACCCATCTATATATGTCTTCTATATTGCATGCTCTTATGTTTTCGCTTCTCTCCTTATCCAACAGACTTTTCCCTGATATTCGTCGGAGTATTTTCATCTCTGTTGTTTCTAGTAGTCGTCTCCTTTTAGATGTGTCAGGTCTTGTCTCCGCCGTGTATGTTAATATAGGTCTAATAACTGCTGCTTTATAGATTCTTGTTTTTGTGTCTTGTCTTAGGCGTTTATTCTTCCAAATTGTGTCGTTAAGAGATCACACCGCTTTACTTGCTTTTAAGCTTTGTTGTACTTCTTCTTCAACATCTCCGTAACTAGTTATATCTATTCCCAGATATCTAAACCCTGCTTCCTGCTTTATTATTTTTCCATCAATTTCGATTTTACGCTGTGGTGAGTATTTAGATGTTGTCATACATTTGGTTTTTTTAATGTATATTTATGATACAATATTATCCTTTATTAAAAATGGTACTGTTTTTCCTTGAAAAAAAGAAAAAAAAATCATTTTGGTTGTAAATTAGTCCTAATTTGTGTGTTTTTAATCCAATCTAATAAATTAATTGTCAAATTTCTTTTTGTGTATTGTATCGCCCGTTAATGGGTTAATACTATAAAAAGAATAAACTTACCTCAAATTTACTTTACTTACCTCAAAACTATTTTTAAAGTTAATAATAAAGTCTATTTAATAAATATATTCCCAAGAAATAGACCACTCTACGTCTATGCACAAATATAATGTGGAACGAATAAACTAAAATATTCATATTCACATTATTTCTAAGAACGCTCAAGTATACGCTCATGAATCGCACCAATTTATATTGTTACGGGGGCAAATTTTATGTGACTAGCTTACTTTTTCACTTATTGACATGGGCAAATCATATACAATAAAAATGACCCCGGTAAGAATTTACTTTTGACATTTACCATGGTTGCCGTTAACTCTTAGTTCAATTGGTAGATTAGTCACCTTTAATTGAAAACTGTCGGACTATAGTAAAAGTTATGATATAGAAACTAAAGTCATCAGGCAGGCAGCAGTTAGTTTGGAGCCTTATGAAATATCATTTAAGGTAAATTATTTAAATTTTTCCCATTTCAATTGCATAAAAATGAAATTATGTGATATCTATTTACTTTTTTATATTAATAGCACGAATCCATCTTTTTCTCTTCTCTAATTTATATGTAATATTTGGAAACCTATAAGAACTACACTCACTATTTTTGCTATTATTAGCACAATTAAATACGCAACATTTATTTGCATCCATTTTTGATAAAATTTATGCGTAAAAAGATAGTCCAATTTTGTCATATTTCGCCGCTACGCACGTTGGCATCATTTCAAGGTACCCCTACCATGGTTACGCACGGAGCGAATATCACATCAATTATTTATCAAGAGAAAATAAGCCATCAAATAGAACAATTTTGGTTATTGGTGTATTGAAAGGTTTATGAAAATCCACTAGGAAACTAAGTTCCTGTAGCTGTCTGTATACCATATATCACAAAAATTTTTATTTCAAATCCTTTATAAAAGGTATATAATAAAATTCCCAAACGGGCTATCACAATTACATTACAGAACGTTTTCGGAATGTTAATTCCATCATCAGTGTAAACGGGGTATACGTGCTATGAGCCACCAAAATGGGTCAAAACCCGTTAAATGTTATAAATTTATAGTTGTTTTACATTATATATAATTACAAATTAGGATGTTTAAGTTAGTTGTTTTACATTATATATAATTACAATTATTATATATAATGGGAAACCTACAATGGCCCTATTCATCGACTTTAAACAAGCGTTCGATAGGATAAAACGCAAAGAAATATACAAAGCACTAAGTGAAATGGGAATTAGTGAAAATTTGATAAGGATGGTAAAAGTGACACTCCGAAGAACAGAGAATAGGGTTAAAATAAATGGAGAAGAAACAGATAAGTTTGAGGTCAGTGAGGGGGTGCGACAAGGAGACCCACTGTTGTCGCTGTTGTTCAGTATCGTCCTCGAAGTTACTATCAGAGAAGCTGGAATCAACAGGTCAGGACTTATATATCAAAGAAAACACCAATGCTTAGCATTCGCTGACGACATTGTACTGATAGCCAGAAGTAAGCAAGAATTAAAAGAAATAATAAAAAGATTAGAAATGAAAGCGAGAAAGAAAGGGACGTACATAAATGAAGAAAAGGCCAAATATATGGAATGGACAGAAAGAGATTACCTACAAGAACAATATCTGACAGTAATAACAGATGAAAAAACATAAATTCGAAGAAGTAGAAGTATTCCAGTATTTAGGAGCGACATTCACGAGAAGACCAAATATGAAGGAAGAAATCCAAGCGAGAATTATGGCTGGTAACCGTTGTATTTTTGCACTAAACAATTTATTAAGAAGCAAAAGATATCTAGAAGGGCTAAGATAAGAATATATAAGACACTAACAAGACCTATTGTATTATATGCCAGTGAAACATGGACAATGAACAAATCCGAGCAAGTCTTGCTGCAAGTCTGGGAAAGAAAAGTCCTCAGGAAATTATTTGGAGGTAAATTATGGAATGGTATATGGATAAAAAGACCAAATATGGAATTAGAGGAGATGTATGGAGAACCGAATATCGTAGGGATCATAAAGTCACAAAGACTGAGATGGTTGGGACACATCCAAAGGATGGGAAACACGAGACTGCCAAAAAGAATGCTAATGGGAGGAGTAGGAGGGAAAAGGAAGAAATGCAGACCGAAAACCAGATGGAAGAAGGATGATATATATATGATAGAAGGAACCAGATATATATATATATATATACATATATATATATATATATATATATAATATATATATATATATATATATATATATATATATATAATATATATATATATATATATATATATATATAATTACAAATTAGGATGCTTAAGTTACCGTTGGAATTGGTATGGAATTCGACGTATATGGAATGGATATACGTCGCCATGTTACCAATTCCAACGGTAACTTAAACATCCTAATTTGTAATTATATATAATGTAAAACAACTATAAATTTATAACATTTAACGGGTTTTGACCCATATATTTTGGTGGCTCATAGCATGTATACCCCGTTTACACTGATGATGGAATTAACATTCCGAAAACGTTCTGTAATGTAATTGTGATAGCCCGTTTGGGCATTTTATTATATACCGTTTATAAAGGATTTGAAATAAAATTCTTTATGAAAATGTAAATCCCAGAACTAATGATAATTAAAGTAACGAATTTTTAGTAAACTTTAGAAAATATTTCTGAAAATTCTCCAAATCAAGATGAAATTTTTAACCAAATTGCCTTTCATCAAAAACACATCAGTTTTGTAGATTGGTTTCCTTGTTGTCAATAGCTGTAATATTAACCATTTATCTTTAAGTTTAAATACAGTTTGTTTATTTTGTTTTAGGTGGCAGTGTCAGTGCAGCAGCAATGAAACCCAAGAAAGCTCCACTTATGGCAAAAACTATATCATATCTAAAGAACAGGTTCAAACGATGATATCTTTCAAACAGTTATTTATTTAGAGAAAAAATAACTATGCCTTTCTTTTTAGCCATAACGAATATACACTGGTCAAACAAGCTATTATATGTGTGAAAAATCTTTATTTCATACAATAAGCTCTACATAAAATAACTATTTTATGTACAATGTTTATAACACCAAAACTATGGAACATAAGATCTTAATTTAATCTAATCTATATAAAGTTTAAAAATATACCTGTCGTTTAGTCATCCAAACAGCTTCTACTGAGTAGCAGATTGAGCTTATTAGATACATCTATATTTGCGACTGTCGGACACTGTTGACTAGTCTCGGTTCTATCGAGGACTTCTTTCAACAGATACGTAACCTTTTGTCCCTGCTACGCCGCTTATGTTTGTTCCTGGTCCCACAAGAGTTTAGGGAATATATGATCACGTCTGATAGACCCCCTATGCCGCGGCAAAGCTAATGAAACATGGGTATCATGTATCCAAAATCTAACTGTCATTAGCTTGCACTCGGTCATACTCATTTCACAGAAATAGCGTCCATGTCAAGCATAAAGACCCCGTCAATTACGGCGTCTCGCGTCACTCGTAAGGAAATATTAACAATTCACTAAATGAATGCGAATTCACATGAAGTCATTGAATTAATGTGGAGGTTCCGATTGTTTCGCCGATTGTAGTCTGGTAACTCGAGGCGAAAATACGTCAAGTCGCGCAACTCACATCATTGGCGTTTGATAATTCGCCGGTATTCAGCTTTTTGTATATATTAAAATTATTCAAATCTGCCCTTTCAGCTGGCCATCACATATGTAGAAAATTTCTGATAAGTTACCTAATATTGCAAACAGTTTCGGTCGAATATCATCACGATTTAAACAAACTGCGTACTTTATCTGAAATGAGTCTTTTCTATATCTTCATTAGGATTTAAATCTGCAGTAGCAGTTGGCTGTTTCATGTTTTGAATAATTCCCTGTACTAAATGACGATAATTTTTTTGGGTACATAGCTTTATAGCTGTAGGATTTAAAGCTTCTTAAATAAAATTTCTTTATTTGAAAAGTTTTAAATGCTGTTAAAAGATTGTGTAATTGAGGAGCTTTTTTTCAACACTGCATAAATCCACTTTTCAAAAATTTTCAGGAGACGTAAAAACGTGCTGCAGCTGTTATACTAAAATTTTCGCAATTTCAGAGAACGTAATCAATTGAGGTTAGATTTAGAGAAATAAAACGCTAATTAACATTATTTTTATTGATTGGCGTTAACAAAATATATCCACGTGTCTGTTGGAGATATCGCGTTTTGTAAAAAAAGATGGGAGATATTAACTTTCGTCAAACTAACAATATCTTAGAAATAAAAAATATTAAACGGTACCCACTAAAACAAAAAAAAATGAGTACAAAAAATTTAGATTTGAACATTTTTTGGCTTATCCTACAAGCAATCACACTCGCCATCATGTTAGTTGTGGGTTTCTGGATCTGAATCACTAGTAACTTTGTGTTGAAGAGCATTAATATACCAATGAAAATCAAGGATCTCTCTCCAATTTGGTCCAAAGTGGGTTTGCAATAAATGAAGGACATCTTTTTTTTTCTCTTTGAATTTGGAATTTGAGAAGAGCCTGAAGAAAATCATTTTTATTTTTTTTACAATGCTTCTAAAAGTTTCTGTTACACTATCGAACCTATAGTTGGCGCAGCATTTTATTTTGGTTGAAGTCTGCCAGTCCCTTGTTTTGATTTTCTTAATAATGAGGCGTTTGGTTTGGCTGATTCCTTTTATTTTTTGATAAATTATTTCAAGGCTTTTGATATCTTATATCACCCAGTCTTGTCCCAATTTCTGTACAGAGCCATACTCTTCGCTCGAGATGATGGTATCAGTTTTTTTCAGGCGCTTCTCCACACGGCCAAAAGCTCGATCAGCTGGAAGAAAACTGTGGCAGAGTCGGAAAGGTTACATGAATTTTTTGTACATTCTCTGGAGTCTCATTTTTTAGCCAATGGCACAAAACGTGAACAATATGAGCATTTTTATTTTGGACAACGCAACCATCACAAAACAACGATACTGCAGAACAAGACGAAAGATCTTGATGTCTTAAGTGGTGGATGAGTGCAGATCCGATTTCATTTGCTCCTCTTCTTCCCTGCGTTTCATTTCACGTATAAAATGTTGGTGCCTGTGAGTCAATAGGCACACAGCAAAATGCATAGAATGCAGTTTGTCGGCGTGGAGTGGGTGCACTTGTTGCAAATCAAAAACAAAACTATAAGTATCACTGAGAACTTCCTTCATTAATTTGTAAAATGCATCCGCTCTCAGCTTGTGAATACGAAGTTCAGTCATTGGACTAATTCTTTCAACTGAACCGCGAGCGTTTTGTTGAATAAGATATTTAAGACGAGTGCACGTAGCGCATGCATCTGTAGCTGGAGAGGAAAATCCAATGTTAAAATCTTTTATATAACATAATCATTTTATATAACTTATTTACACTTAACTCTACTGAAAGGTAAACTCTCTTACTTTTTCCTCTTCCATAATGAGATTCGACACAATTTAGTTTACCAAAAAATTGACGGATTGCTTCCTTTTTTGCTCTGAAAAAAGCTTCTCGTCGATAACCACCTCTATTTTCTTTGAGTCCGCAGTAGTCGAGAAGCAGGTACACCCATTGAGAAAGCAAAAAACTTTTTACAGACAGGAATTATCCGTTTCTGTTTCTGACTATTGAGAAAAAAATTCACAGAAACCGTTCTTGTGCGAGTTACAGAGACAGGCACAGCACCACTTGCTCTTCTTCTTTGGGGCTCGAAAGCGAGATATATTTCATCAAAACAAGATCTTGTTTCTCTTTATTTTCTGCCATGTAGACTGCTTGTCGATTAATTTTTATATCATCGTCATCACACTAGCACAACGAAGATTTTTCGAATTATGGGCACATGGTCTGGTGTTCTGTTTTAGAAACACTAAATGAGGATCACTATCGTTGTACTTCATAATTTTTGAACGCCCTCTCTTTTGTTTTAATATATCGTCGTTTTTTAGATCCCACCGATAAATTAGCAACACTATCCATCTCAAAAACCACGCCAAAACACAGAAACAACGTTGACATAGAACGAATTCACAACATCCCGGATGTTCAGACCGGAGGATTTATGCAGTTTTGTAAAACAAAAACTAATTTTAATGGTTAGCTAAAGAAGGAGATGTTAAATTTTGTATAAAAAAGAGTGAACATGGGGTAAAGGTTTTTGAGTAGATTAATTAAGTTTTATGGAAGAAACGTGATTGTTAGGCTCATTTTAAATGGGAAATATTAACTTTTAACACATTAGACTTATACACAAGATCTAAGGTAGACTAAACTAAACAGATCTAAAAGCAGTATTTTAGCCGGAAATGGATCTATGCAGTTTTGTAAAAAAAGCTCTTCAATTAGGTTTTTATAAAATCAACTGTAACACGGTCAACTACATATAGACCGGAACATTACCGTGGCAACTCTGTCAGCGTGTCAAATATAGGGCTTATTTTTAGTGCAATAGCGATTTATTCTTTGTATTAGTGTTTGATATTTATATTTTACCAATATATTTCAAACTCTTAGAAATTAATATTTGTAACATATTAAGAAACTTTCATTTGCCATTTGTAAAATAAACTTTGTTCTTCTGATTCGTTTACTTTATCGTTAATAGCCTTTATACAATGTAATATTATGAAATGTTTATTTGAAACTTTATTGTTGACTAGCCACTAACTTATAGCAGAACATAATATTTCCTGAGGTACTCTCATTAAATCATTACCTACAATGTTTATTGGCAAAGTTGGCAACTGATCTATTTGAGAAATATTTAGTTTAATTTGACCATACCGTGAAGAATGTAAATTCTCTTATTATTTTTTATGACTCATAAATTTGCTTTATATAAAAATTTTCACCTAATAACTGAATATATTTGACAAGCCGATATTCAATATAAAGAAGAATGTTGATCTTCCAAAGATCATTTATTGAACCAAATTAATTTTTTTTTCTAAAAATCGTATTTGTTCGTCATTTAACTTTTCTTGATGTCACTTTTACTTCACTAGGTGCGAACTCCATTGGTTTTTGTTGTTGTTCTTGACATTAATAAATAATTCCCTCCTATTAAATAAAGTATGGCTACTACTTTTAATAGAGCCTTTCTGTTTTGTTAAATATTTACAGAAAAATATGTCCAGAGAATATTTTAGGTAAAATAGTTTCTTTAAGGGTAGTAGGAAGAACAGTGGAATAGATTTAAAAATTCACAGCGTGACGTCACAATAATATAAAAACTTTTGGATGTACTAAATGGCAGATGACAGATGGCAGAAAACAAAATGAAACTTACCACATACTACAAATTTCAACGAATTAATGTTGTAAATTTCTAGGTAGTTAATAAGTGTTAAGTTTTTTCACTGATTAGTGTATATTCGTAACGTAATTTTTAGACAATGGTGTTTGGAATAGCGTGTTGTGACTTATTCATTTTGTATATATTTGTAGAAATCATAAAGCATGGTCTATAGTATTTTGCAAAGTTTAAGAAAAAGCACTGAAGTTGTTGAAATTTTATGATTGTAACATGTGTCTCGAAGGTTATTTTGAGTATTTAGGGAATAGACATGTAATATAAATAGACTGAACGCTGCAACGCAGGCCTGTTTACCCAGTGCGTCTATAACGCCAAATCAGTCCCTGCCTCCCTTTCTAATGGGCCGGGTTTATCTACCACGTGATCTAAATGACCTATGGGAAGGTCACGTGGTCGATAAACCCGAACCATTAGAAAGAGATGCAGGTACTGCTTTGTGTCAGTTTTCTTTGACGCACTGGGGGAACACGCCTGCATTGCAGCGCTCAGTCTATTTGTATTATATGTCTACGGGTTAGGGTAATTTAATTATATTGACACGTTAAGGGAAATCAAGAATTGTTGGCCA